GAGTCATTCCACCATGTCTCTGTGATGCCAAGACAATAAATAAAAACAGAAATAACAAATAATAAAAACACAAAAAACCAATAATAAATAAAAACAGAATAAATAAAACCAGAAAAAGTGTGAGAGCATTTTTATTACTATTTTTTTAATAGCTGATCTATTTTCAACAAAATTAAGAACCAAAAAGAACACAAACTCATTTTTCTTTAGCACTCAATGTTTTTCACTTGAAAAAAAATCTGCCTGAGGTGAAAGGGGATGCTGTGACATCTCTGTCTGGAGCTTCCAGCTAAACACCACTGGATACTGGAGGGGCCAGCCAGCACATACTAGGATACCCGCTCTGGATGAGGCCTCTGAGTCTTAGCTAGAGATGTTAAAATTATGTATAAAACAAGAATGAATTCCTATATTCAACAGCCAAATCCTTGTCCTGCCTACAAAACATATAGGGGACAACTTTTCCTGTGTGCTGTGGCAAATGGCTATTTTTTGCAGGCTGGGACATCAGGGAGAGGAGGTACTTTCCAAGAGCAGATAAAACAGAGACAGCAGGAGGTGTAATTTGCAGCACCAGAGGCGGACAGGGCCATTTTGCACACTCTGTGCTGTAAATCTGACCACTGCTGCAGAAACTGCTGGTCAGTATCTTGCCTTTAAAGTTAAGAAAGCTGGACGTAACTGGGGAAAGAACTTTGCTCCACCTTCTCTTTTTTTGGTATCATCTTCAATCCAACAAGATGAGCTCCAGGGGCACAGAAGCTCTGTGAGGCTGACTGAATTGCGTGCATGGGATCCTCCCTTTCCATAGCGAAACAGACTGTTTCCGCTGTTACAGGCACTCCAGGGTTTCTTTGCTTACAGTTTTCATATCTGCTTCCACGTTAAGTTCTATACTCTTACACATGGCCATGTAAACCCACAACTAACACATCTATCTCTTTCCAAGATGATAGGATGGCTTCTGATCGCCAGCATCATGACTGCTGCACTGATTTTGACATGTGTCAGCCGCTGTTGTTCCCCAGTTAGCTATCTTCAGCTCAAGTTCTGGAAAATTTACTCAGAGAAGGAACAGGAGCTCTTTGAGATCAAGGCTAAAGAGCATGCAACCAGGCTGGCAGAGAGGAATGTGAACTGCTTTTTTGAAGCCACTGACTCAGCACCGTTTCAGACTCCCAGCAATGAAGACTGGCAGAAGATTTCATGCTTGTATACCTTTGATTCACGAGAGCAGTATTACAGCATGTTACACAAGTACGTTAACACAAACCGAGGCGAGAGCGGCCGATTCGGGGAAGGAGATCAGAATCCCCCTGTTTTAGGATTTGTGGATGAAGCAAGCGCAAGCGAATCAGGGTTTTAATGAAACAAATCCTTTGCAATGCTGGCAATCTTTTAACCCTACCGATACAAGAAGAGTCTTATTCTGTGCTCTTATTGAAATCTATGCAACTTGTTTGTAAAAGCTGATTGTTGTAACCCTCAGCAGATTTGTTTTTAAATACACTTCATCACTTTAGCTTAAGTACATTTCAATAAATACATCTGTCACGATGGGAGTTTTCGTATGTTCATTAAAAAGAGTCACGTGTGTAAAACAGTAAGCATCCACAAAGATGTCAGCATGTACTATGTCAGATTATTACCAAACACTTTAAGAGCATTTCACAGCTGGAGTGACAATACCAAACCTGCGTACCTGGCAGTATCAAAAGAGACAAAAAGGAATGGAAGTCTTGATCAGAATTTCAGCTTAGTTTATTGGTTCTCACTTGACAATATATCTTTCAGTGGAGCTTAGATCAAGATCAAGACTAAAATATTTACTTTCAGTCAATTAGTTTCTCAAGGCAATGACCCTATCCTTTGAAATCCGGGAAGCGATTAGCATTTTGGAGCTACCTGTGCATAACAAAAGAGTCCATGGGAATGACTTCAGCCGCTTATCAGTTTGAATAAATGAGTAAAAAGATTCCAGCCATTTTACTCCTACATGCTCAGCAGCTTTAGGCAATAACAGTGAAACAAAAAACTTTCATGGTGGTGAATTTTCTTCACCACTGTCTGATCTTGATCACCTTTTGCAGCAGGCGTTCTTGTTTATCTCTACTGCTCATTTCCTGTAATTGTAAAGCTCTTTAATGGGAAAAAATAGGCATTTGAATGCTGCAGGAAAAACATTACACACCAACATTAAACTTCCTGTTTATAGTCTATTTATATTTTTTCTATTTTTTTCTCCTGAAAAATACATAATTACTATTATTTTTAAAATATATAATGTTATATATCAGGTTTTGGCTCTAGCATCAGTACCTAAGCTACACCTGGATGTCCCTGCCAAATACATTAGTGTCATGGTTTGATGTGGAGGGGGGGTGGTTCTGGTGGCAGGAGAGGGGGTTTGCTCCCTGGGAACTCCCCCGTTTTTGGAC